CAGGGGATGTATTTTCCATGGAAGGGATGGTGCAGGAGCAGGTGAAGGGCAGCACCTGGGGTCACCTGGCCAGGGCAGCACCCGAATCCCACTGGGGCTGGAGAGGCTCCTGATCTTTGGAATGGATGCAGGGTGGGAATCCAGGGAGCAGCTCCACCCTCTCCTGCAGGGACCGGTCACCGCGGGGCTCTCCTGGCCAGGAGCAGAGGGTGACACCTGGAAAAAGGTGTCACCCCCCCCAGCCCCCGCAGCGCCTCATTCTCCTGGGAAACGCGCCGGGGGCAGCAGCAGGGAATGGCTCCGGAGCAGGGAATGGGGAGCGGATCCCGCCCCGCAGCCCGGGCACAGAAACCCCTCTCTGTGGAGCACAAGCGGCTCTCTGTCCCCTCTGTCTTCCCTTCCTTTAATAATCGTCCCCTTTTGTCCCCACACATTTCCCTCCGTGCCATTGTCCCCCTGCTCCCTCAGCCCAGGAGCTGCTCCCGGGGCCACCTGTTTTTTCCACGTCCTTTTCCAGGACACCTGATGTATTTATTTTCATTGCCGGTTTGTTTTCTTTCTTTTTTCTGCTTTTTTTTTTAGGGTCTATTAAGTTGATTCCTCCTTCCCGTGCCCTGGGAGCCGCGGTTAATGAGTAACCACAGCGAGCTCCGAGGCAGCTGCCTCACACAAACCGACCGAGACTTTTTTGGAGCTGCATAAGGGAACGTTTGTTCTGCAGCCCTCAATGGATCCTTGTGCAGGAGGCAAGGAGTGTGGGGAGAGAAAGGGAGACACTAAATCACTGCCCTCCTGCTCGGAGCAGAGCTCAGAGCTCAGCCCGTGGGGCTGCTGCTGCCTTTTCCTCAGAGGTGGGGGCTGAGTTCCCTCGGTGGGTTCAGAGAATGGATTTATCTCCCCAGCTGAGCACATTTTTAGGGATTTTTTTAGCTTTAAGGCTCCTTTTAAGTGGCTTAAGGATCAAACACTGAGCCCATCCAGACGCTGGTGGGGCAGGAATTGGGATTTTCTGTGTCCCTGTCCCATTGAGGAGCAGGTTTGGCTCTTGGGGTTCAGCATTTTACCTGTCCCCTTCCTCTGCTTTGGGTCATGGTGATTTGGGGTTTTTTTTCTGACATTTCCCGTGGGGTTTGAGGCTGTGTCGCTTCCCTGGCTGATGGGGCAGGGTCTGGAAGCTCCGTGCTGTGTCCCAGTGTCCCGTGTGACCTTGGCCATGGCATTTAAACCTCTGTGCCTGTGTCACTGAGCAAACAGGTGACGCTGTGCCTCTGCTCACCCTGCCCTTGTCCTCCTCCTCCTCTCCCAGGCTGCTGCGAAGCTCCTGGAGCCTGGCTGGGATCTCAGGAGCAGGCAGAGAATTCCAGATACCAAACTGCTCCTGCATGGAACGGCTCTCCCTCTCTCTGTGGCTCCAGGAAAAGCTTGGGAAAGAATTCCAGGAGCATCAAGTCCAGCCTCCATCAAACACCACCCTGTCAGCCAGAGCTGGTGGAGAAGAGCCACCTGTGCTCCTTTCTGAGGGACAGGGACTCCCCCAGTGCCCTGGGCAGTTCTTGCCATGCCTGGCCGCTCCTGCAGGGCAGGAATTTTGGAACATCCCCCCGGAGCCTCCCTGGCACAGCTCGAGGCTGTTTCCTGTCCCTGTTCCCAGGAGCTGATCCCACCTCACCCGCTCTGCTCAGGGTCTGAGGGGCTCAGACCCCAGGGCTGGCACTGGCAGCAGATCCCCGTGTTCCTGGGGCAATCCCAAACTGGGACTGCTCCGTGTCCCTTTGTCCCCAGAGCACAGCGGGGTGTGGAGGGGACAGGAGTGTCCCCAAGGGCTCCCCATCCCTGCTGCAGCTCCCTCTGAGGATTCCTGGTGCTCCTTCCCAGGCCTGTGGGCCAGGCTGGGATCCAGCACCAGGCGAGAGCTAAAAACACAGAACCACATTTTCCTCCTCTTTTACAAACCTCAGCTTTGGGGCTTGGGTTTAATTTCATTTTTCTTTTTTCTTTTTTAATTTGGGGATTGGCTGCAGTTTTGGGGAAAGATTGGGGCTGTTTGTGTTTTACCTGCCACAGCTCCCTGGAGCAGCAGCTCTTTATTGGCTCCCACAGCACTTGGCTCTCTCAGCACTGGAAAGAAAAAGCTTTTTGTTCCCATATTTCCATATATTTATATGGATTTAACTGGGCTGGGGAGGGTATTTGAAGGTCAGAGAACTTGAAGAGGTTACTGTGCTGGCCAGGCCTGGGAACAGGGAACAGCCATCCTGTGGGAACTCATTCCCAGCTCACCCTTCCCTGTCTCTTTATTTTCCCAGTGCTGCCCATCACTAAACACTTTATTTTCTTGTTTCTCTGGGAAAAACCACCAGCAAATTCCACGGTGTGGATTTATGGATGTGCCATTCCCAAGCTGGGGTGGGAAAATCAACACGAGCTGGGGCTGTGACCCCAAACTGCTCCACAGAGCGTTGGGACCAACACGACCTTGACAGAATTAAGGGTTTTCCTGGCTCCCCCTTCCCAGGGCAGGGCTCCCGTTGCTTCCCAGAGCTTTCCCTGTTTTCCTGGAGGAGTCAACAACCCAATCCTTCCTCCTCGGCAATTCCTGGCCATTGGGAGTTCTGTATCTTGGGAAGATTCTGCTGGAGAAGAACCAGCCCATCCTCCTGGTGGTCTCCTTGGGAGCCCCAAAACCAGCCCTGGAGTGAGGAACAAGACTTCCCTTCCTAGGAAAACCCTCTTCCCTTCCCAGCAATTTTTCTGCCCAGCTGAGCACATTTTTAGGGATTTCTTGGGTCATGGTGATTTGGGGCCCTTCCCAGGAAAACCCTTTTTCCAGGAAAACCCTCTTCTCTTCCCATCAAAACCCTCTTCCCTGGAAAACTCTCTTCTCTTCCCATCAAAACTCTCTTCCCTTCCCAGGAAAACCCTTTTTCCAGGAAAACCCTCCTCCTTTTCCATCAAACCCCTCTTCCCTTCCCAAGAGCCCTTTCCCCTTTCTCTGGCCCTTGCACTGAGGATTTCCTCCCTTCAAAGCTCCCCCAAAGCTCAGCCCCAGCAGATCCAGTGGCCACATTCCCATGTTGGATTTGATATTTGCAGGGTGGACTCGATGATCTTGGAGGTTTTTTCCAGCCTGGATAATCCTGGGATTCTGTGCTCTGATCTGCAGATCCCTGGGGATAAAGGATGATTCCAGCTGCTCCCAGTGGATTTTTCACAGCTTGGGAACATCTGGCTGCCATCCTCCCACCCCCAGGCTCTTCCTTCCCTGCTCCATGGGCAATCCCGCTCCTCCCCTGCCCACCCCGCCCGCCCCAGCATTCCAGGGCTTTTCCCTGTGGCTCAGGAATGCGGGGCAGGAATGCTGTGCTCTCCAAGGAGCCGGGAAGGGGCACGGCTGGCACTTCCCACAATGCCAGCGTGTTTGCAGGGCCGGGATTGCTGCCCCACCTGGAGCTGGATCCTGTTCCGGCATCTCCCGACACCTTCCACCATCGTGGAGGCACAGCCAGGGCAGGGAGCATCCCAGAAATCAGCGTCAGGCTCCTCTGGGAATGAGTCCTGCAGCTTTCCATGGGAATTCCTGCTGCTTTGGGTGTCTCTCGTGGTCCCTTACACCCTCAGAGGGTGACACAAAAGCTGTGGCAGAGCCTTTTTGGCTCCAGGGTTTTTTTTCGGAGATGATGTCTGACAGCTCTGTGTCCTGTGGGCTTGTTGCTCTGAAGGAAATGCCACTGAAAAGGGAGTAAAACTTTGGGATTCAATTCCAAAAAGGGAAATTTGCCTTTGGAAATCCCAGACATCCAATCCCACGGCTCTGTGAGCCCTCTGGACACCCAGCTCAGGTGGTGCTGGATCAGTGACACTTGCCACTGTCCCAGGCTGCTCCAAGCCTCATCCAACCCAGCCCTGGACAATTCCAGGGATCCAGGGGCAGGATAAGCTCCATCCCTTGGAGCTTTTTCCCAGCTCTTTCCTCTCTGTGAGCCCCATTCCATCTCTTGCCAAACAGGTTTGAATTTCCAGACCGTGGCTATGAAAACGCAGCTCAACCCCCTCCTGCACAGCACTAAAATATGGCTTTTCCCCCTTTTTTAATATCCCCTAAACGATGACCTTTTCCCTCCTTCAGCAGGCAGCCAACACAAGCACAACAATGTGATTTGTGCAGCGTTTCAGCTGCGGTTTCTTCAAGAAATTCATCTGCTCTCGAAGCAATTACGGGCAGGGAAGCATTTCCACTCCGGCTTCGGGCCCTGAAAAGCTGCCAGGAGGGATTTTTTCCCTTCCCCTCCTCTCTCCCTCTTGCTCTCTCAGCCCCCCTTGTCCTAAAAAACTTCTGTGGTTTTGCTTCAGCAGCAGTTCTGGGATGGTAAATCCCAGCCTGGTGCAGGTGGGAAGGAGCTGGATCCATGTCCCTGTCCCTGCTGGGGTGGGACATTTTTGGGAGCAGGTTTGTGCAGGATCATCCCCCCTGAGCAGCACCTTCTGCACCCTCCCCTCTGCCCCAGCTCCTGGAGGGGACAGCGGGCACGGTGCCACCCCCTCCTCGTGCCTGCTGTGCCCTGCAGGGCCTTCCCCACAGCACGTGGGGTTCAGAGGGCACCTGTGGGACACGGCTCTGTCCTGCCGGGTGACTCTGCCAGCACCCAGGGCTGGGGAGAACGGGCCCTAAATGAGCCCTGAAGTCAACAGCACGGTTAATTGCTCATTCATTCCTCGGATGGGTTAATAATTAAGTTAAATTAATAATTGGGAGAATAATTAAACAAAACAATAAGCCATACCCGGCACGATTGAAGCGCTCGCTGTTCGTGCCGGGGTTTTGGGGTTACTCATTCACTTTAGGGCCGCTGTGGCGTCGGGCTGGCTGTGCCAGGGATGCGGCTCCCGGAATCCCGGGGAAAACCGGACTTTTCCAGGCAAAACCATCGGCTCTTCCCTCCCTGGGCTCTGGAGAGCAGCGGGGTCGGGGTCTTGGTGAGGAGCAGAACCGCCCACGGCTCCTCCCGAACCGCCCGAGCCCTTCCCGTCCCACGGAGCGACGGACGGACGGACGGACAGAAGGACGGAGAGCGAGAGGGAGGGACAGAAGGGCGGAGGGAGGCGGCTCTAGGCCGGGGGGAGGAACTACAAGTCCCGTGAAGCCGCGCCGCCCGCCCGCCGCCGCGGGGCTATAAAGGAGGGAATGGCCCGGCAGCCGCAGTCGGAGCATCCCTGGCTTCGGCGGAGCCGCTCCCGCCGCCGCTCCCGGGGACATTCCCGGTGGGAGCGGGGCGATACCCGCACTCCCGGAGGCTCTGCAGAAGGAGGATGAGGAGGATGCCGCTCCGAGCACCGGGGGAGCCGCAGCCCCGGGAGGCTTCGGGCGCTGCCGTCGGAGGTGGAATTGGAATTGGAATTGGAGGTGGGTGCCCCGCTCGGCTCGGGGGGTGCGGGGCTCAGCGCGGGGCTCCTGCGCCCCGCACTTGCTGCCCGGCACAGGGGGGGCTGTGCCGGGCACTGCGGGTCCCCTCGGTGCCCGCAGCTGCTGTCCCTTCTCCCCCTGTGCCATCCCCTTTGTGTCCCTTCCCCTGCCCGGGGTCGGGGCTCCGGCCCGGGATGCTCCTGGTGCGGTTTTCCCCTTCTCTCCGAGGAAAAGCGCTGGTTCCCTTAATCGTTTGCGGGTTCTTTTTAAAGGTGGGGTTTTTTGGTGTGTTTTTAGGGACTCACACTCGGCTTTTCCCTTCCCTGCCGTGGGAATTCGTTCCCCAAAATCTCGCCCCGGGGCAGGTGCTCGGGCGGGGCTTTGGGCAGCCCCGAGCCCGTCCCCTCCCGCCGGGCTGTCCCAGCCCCGGGCCGAGCCGCGCGCGGGGTCTGGGATGCACAACAGCACTTTTGTGTGAATCCTGGAAAAAAATATGAATGACTCCCTTCTGTTGCTGGCTACAACAAAAAGACCACACCAGTCTAGACCTGCACCCGACAGCACAGACAGAAATTAGCGCTGTCTGCTCCGCTCCGTGGAGTGTCCTGGGGAGCTCCAGCCAGGGATCCCTCCGCAGGGCTGCTGCTTTGGGGAGAGGATGTTTGAGCTTTCTCTGATAGGAACAAGAGGGTTTTTTTGCCCGGACATTGTTGGCGTTGCTCGCTGCTGGCTCGGAATTTCCTCCGAAGGCTGCGGGAGTTGCTCAGCTTTGCTAATTGAGACATCTTTTTATAATCACGGGCGCAGCCGCGGGAAGTGGGGGCAGAGCGCTGGTGACTCAGGCCCTGGGAAAGAGAGGCTGCGTTTGGCTTTGCCCGGGGTTGTGGAGGGGAGATCCCAGCTGGGAAACTGCAGCAGGGCTCCCAAGGCTAGCGGCACTCTCTGCTGGCAGCCAGGTGATGCCTTCAGGATGTCAAATTTCTCATTTCCCTGTAGAGCTGCGGGGGAGAAATCTTCCTGGTTCGCCTCAGCCCTTCAAATGTGAAAGCTAAAGTTTAAGGCATCACCCCCAGGTGTGATCTGCTGTGTGAGAGAGGTTGGAGCCCTGGTATGGAGACAATCACTTTGTGCTCATTTTCTAAGGCTTTGCTGCAAAACCAGCTCTATCAAGATTGGGGTTTTTTTAAGCTTACCAGGTGTTTTCCATGTTCAGGTGTCCCAAAACAAAGGTTTAGGAGATATGGCACCCCTCAAACTCCATTTGATGTGGCAGTGATCACCCCATTTGGGGCCATGGGCAGGCAGTGGGGTCACTCTGCCTGTGGGAATATCAATCCTTTGGGAAGAGGTTCTCAGATGAGCTGTGAAAAGAATCCTGATTCTTGTGGGGTCAGGAGGAGGCAAAATCCCACTGTGGGCAGGAGTGGTGACACCTGTGTGGTGTCTCCTGAGGCAGGAGGGATTTTGGGGAAGGATGAAGTGTCTCCTGAGGAAAAGGGGATTTTGGGAAAGCTACCAGGGCAGGGGGAGCAGGCTCAGGTGCTCTGCTCTGGCTGGTCTCAGGAGCTGCAGGTGCTTCTCCTGCCCAAGGGGTTTGGGAGCAGGAGTGTCCCTGCTCACTCTGCCGAGACAGGAATTCAGGGCTGTGGAGTCCAGCAGGATCCTCCTGCCTGCTGAGGCCGGATGAAGATCCCAGATGGGCTCATCCCACTCTCTGGGGTGTTGGCAGGATCTGGTTTGGAGGTGCTGAACTGGGGCTGTTCCCCTTGGCTGAAAGATGACCCAGATCCCTCTGGAATGGCTGGGACCTGCTGGGGAAGGTGGGTTCAGCCCTGAAGGGCTGGAAAATGAGGAATGTCCCAGCAGCCTGGGACATGGGTGGCCACAGGAGCAGAGTGGTGTCACCTGCAGTGTTTGAGGGACAGCTCAGAGTTAAATGGGATTTTGAGGGGTTCAGGGGGTCCCTAAGCTCAGGTGCTACCTCACCTGCACCTGGCTGAGCTGGGCTCAGGGTTACAGGTGCAGAGAGGGCTTGGGGAATGTTCAGACCTGGCTTTTTTTAGGATTCCTCTGCCTGTGACATCTGGAAGCCTCCAGCTCTGACCTGGCTCTTCCAAGGCTGAACTTTTTCCATTCCTCCCTCCTGCCTGGTTTTAAATCTGTTCAATCCAGCAGCATCCCTTCTCCCATGCAGTTTCTAGCAGCAGCTGGCTCAGATCTGGACAATTTTGGACTCAAGCTTCTCCATCTGGGAATTCTCCTGGATAAGGAATGATCCTTAAATTTTCAGAGATCAAAAGTTTAGGGCCACACCCACCCCCCAGACAGCGGGGGGATCACGCCAGGAGCACAATGCAGCTTCCTGGGGGTTTTAGGGATTGTTTGATCTTTGAACAGAAAAGCAAAGCAACAAAAGAGAGGCCGAGGAGAGCCCAGGCTCTGCCAGTGCCCAGAGCTGGAGCCGCTTTACAAAGCGTGGCCTTGTTAAGCCGGGCTGCTTCCACCACCAAGGACGGGTTTAAAAAAGAAATGAGGGGGCAAAAAAGCGCCCCGTGTTGGTGTAAACACGGCATGGAAAGGCTTTTATTGTAAAATAAATGCTGCTCCTTTCTGAGGAGAGCTCTCAGCGCAGGATTAGGGTTTGCTGCCTCAGGACTCCCTGGGGACTCTGCGCCTCTGTCCTGCTCCCGGCTTGATTTTAGCCCTCCAAGTCTTCCCCTTTTCCTTTTTTTTTTTGGTTTTTCCCCCTCTTTGGCAACACTGGAATTGCAGGAAGAGCTTTCCTGGCCTGGCAGGGGGTTTGTTGTCACCTCGGGCCCTCCTGGGTGCGATCTCCCGCGGAGCTGATGAGGTGCGAAGGCCTCGCCCGGCCGTGCTGCTGCCGTGCCCTCAGAAAGGAACATTCTTCCCCTTCACTTGGCTGCTCCTTCTGCCAAGCCGCAGATGTTTTTTTGAGGGCTAAAAGCTAAGCCTTTAAATAAATGTGTTTGATCCCTGGGTGGTTGTGCAGCTTTCCTGAGGAAGAGAAAAAAAAAAAAAAACCAACTCGGAATGGGTTTTGTACGGGGAGCAAACGTCGTGTGCTGGGGTTGTTCCTAAAGCTGATTCCTCAGGTTTTATTCCTGCTTTTTCTCCCTGGCAGGGGATCAGAGCGGCAGGAAAACCTCCCGAGGGCTCTGCTGGGTAAAGCTCAGCCTAAGGCAGCTCGAGCCTTGCTGGGATCGGCAGGGCCAGAGGGGTTTTGTGCCCTGCGGGAGCTTCAGGCTGGCTCTGAGCGTCTGCCCTGGCTCCTGGGTCTCTTGGATCTTCTGGTTCTCCTGGACCTGGGCTCCTGGATCTCCCTGGATCCTGCAGGGCTCCTGGGTTTCCTGGACCTGGGTTCCTGGAACCAGTTCTGGTCAGGGTCAGGTGGAGAAGCTGCTCTGGGACCCCGGTGTCACCTTGTCCCCAGTCTGCGATGGCTGCGGTGTCACTGCTGTCACTGGAGCTGCTTCACCTCCTGCTGCTGCTCCTTTAAATTCACTCTCAGGCCAAAGCATGAGGGCTTTTGGGAGTTTATTCTACGTTTTTAGGAGAAAAGATGTTTTTGGGATGCAGGGTCCCTCTGGCAGGCAAGAGGTTAGGATATCGGGAAGAAGTTAGAAGTTTTCAGAGAAAGAGTGATGAAGTTCTGGAATGGCTGCCCGGGGAGGTGGTGCAGTCCCCATCCCTGGGTGTGTTTAACAAAGCCTGGATGTGGCACTGGGTGCCAGGGGTTGGTTGAGGGGTTTGGGCTGGGTTGGACTCAATGATCTTGAAGGTCTCTTCCAACCTGGTGGTTCTGTGAATTCTGACTTGCAGCCAGGAGTGCTTTAGGAGCTGTGGGGTGGCAGCTCAGGGGGTTCCTGTGACGCTGTGCCTGCCCATCCTCGTTCCCTGCAGACAAACCTGGGGCTGGCACTGCCCCAGCGCCAGGGAAGGTGGCCCTGGAGGGACAGGAGCTGCTGCCAGCGCTGGCACCTGGCTGCCAGTGACACCAAGAGGCAGGTGCCTGTCCCTGAGGCTGGAACTGCAGGAATTGCAGCTGACAGCAGCTTCCCTGCAATTCCAGAGCCTGCAGAGCAGGTCCCTTCCCTGCTGGGGGGTGGGATGAGCTCCAGGAGGTTTCCTCACAGCCAGCTCTTCCCTGGGCTTGGTTTGGTTCTTGTTCCAGCATTTCCTGAGCAGCTGGAGGGGAAGAGGGAAGGAGGGATCCTCTGGGGGCTCCATTTGGGTTTCTGGGGAGGCTGCACTGCAGCCCCTGGGGTGAGGTGGGGCAGGAGGGTCCTGCTGGGCTGGGTCTGGGGGGGACCCGGCCACCAGTGGCCACTGGCAGGGAGTGGGAGGTGAATCCATCACCCTGGAGGGGTTGGGATCTGTGGTGGAGCCAGGCTGGAGGTGAAGCTCCCCAGCCGAGCTGAGCTCCTCTTCCTGCACTGTGTGGGACTGAGGGTGTGCAGAAAACGCCCCATGAGCTGGGGAGGGGGAGCTGCTCACCTGGAGGGCCCTTTCCAGCTGTTTTCCATGGCAATGCCATCCTCTGGCTGCAGGGATCTGGGCTGTGTCCCTGGGAACAGCGGTTCCTGCAGCCCCGGCAGGATGGTGGCATCAGTGGGTGTTTAATCCCTGTTCCTGGGACAATCTCTTTCTCCTGTGGAGGCAGAGTGGCTGCAGGGATCCGGGCTGTGTCCCTGGGAACAGCGGTTCCTGCAGCCCTGGCAGGATGGTGGCATGAGTGGGTGTTCCTGGGACAGGATTTTCCTGTGGAGGTAGAAGGACCTGGAGGCAGGAAAAGGTGGCCGTGGAAGTGGCACCTGGCTGTGGGAGGGAGGACAAGGGCCAGAACATCTCCTGCTGGCAGGGTCCGGGCAGTCCCCTCTATAAAGTGCCCGTGACCCTCATGTGCTTGTCCCTTGTGCCCTGTGCTTGTCCCAGTGGGATCTGTGGGATGTGCCCAGCCCAGGGCTCGGAGGGGGAGGGAGAAGCTTCCCAGCCCAGCGGCCTGGATGGGGAATAATGCTCCCCTTTTTATGGCTTCTTCAATTGTTCCTGAAAATCCTTTTTAAAAGGAGGAAAGTTCCTTCCTTCCTTTCAGCTCCCGGTATCTTGAAGAATTCACTCCATTGTGAGGCCAGGACAGAGACCCTTCTATGAGGGCTCTCCTCGAGCCCCCCTCCCCGTGCCCCCTCCCACCCCATCCCAACAAGCCCCCATTCTCCTCTGAAGAGGGTCCCTCTGTCTAACGCCAAGTAACTCTTAAGGGTAGCATTTATCCCGGGGCACTCAGCTCACAAAGAGTGCTGGAGTGTCAAATAAACTCCCCGCAGCCTGCAAAGAGCAGAGGAAGAAAAACACAAAACCCCCTTTCTTTCCACCCCTGCGGGGAAACAAATACGGACTTTGTGCCGGCGGCAGCGGCGCCCTAACGAGCCCGAGCGGGGCTGCTGCGAGCCCGGGTGGCCACGGCGGGGGCTCCGGGGGGACCTGGCACACGGCAGGGACTCCGAACCCCCCCCAAAATCTGCTGGCTGTCCACGCTGCTGTCCCTGCTCCTGCTGCCGCGGTTGGTTTGGGAGGAGCTGCTGGGGTTGTCACCAGAGATAAGGGACAGCCACATCCTCTGAGCGCTGCCCAGACCCTCGGGGGGCTCAGCTCCTGTTCCCGGTGGGAATTCAGCTTGGGAATTGTCACCTCTGGGTGTTTGCTGTGGTTCCTGTGAGGAATAACCCCGGGCTCTTTGCCCTGCGTGGATTTGAGCAGGAATCCTTGTGCCAGGAGCCAGTGGCACCAGTCCTGGCTGGGGAGGTGGCCAGTGCTCCATGGGGCTGTGGCCACCAGCGTGACCAGTGTGGCCAGCGCCTCTGCTCAGCAGCAGAAAAATCCAGCTGCCTCCCGGAGTCTGGCACCATTTGGGTGCTGAGTTTGGGCATCTCTTGCAGCCCTGCTCTGCGGGATGTGCTCAGCTGCCCTGAGCAGAGCAAGGCTGGACACGAGGCTGTGTCCAGGTCACTCCTGTCCCTCACCCTGACCTTTGTTCCTCCACAGGTTTCGGCATTCCTGCAGGGACAGCTCCCATCGGCCCAGGAGCTGCTGGAACCTCCTTGTGCCAGCGGTGGGGACACCAGGGCAGGAGTGGCACTCGTCCCCTCCGCCAGGGAAGGGCTCCCGAGGCAGGATCTGTCCCTGGATGGTTCCTCTGCGCTGGGATCCCGAGCCCTGAGCCTCGGCTGGGGTTTGGATGCTCCCTTCTGTCTGCAGCTGGAATGGCAGGGCCGTGCCTCCTGCTCCTCCAAATCCTGTGGATTTACTGCTTTTGGCATCGTCCTGCTGGGACTGGCTCGGCACAGGGAATATCCTGAGGGACGGATGGGGAAAAGCAGCACCTGCAGCCTGAGGCTACAATTCCCTCTTTTTCTGGGCTACTCTGAGCATCCTGGCTCTGCAGGAGGAAGGATTCCATGCACTCCTGGAGGACAAATCCTGCTGCTCTGATGTGAGTCAAGACATGAATTTTTCCTTTTCATCACCTTCCTTTTGGACTTGTTGGAAAATGATATTTTCCCTGTCTTGAGGGAAAAACCTGCCCAATCCAGGGAGCTGCTGTGGGGGAATGAGGGAGCAGACAGGTTTGTTCTGACAGCTGGACTGGCTGCTTTAATCAATGCATGAATTTTTTAGTGCCATTCCAGCTTGAAGTCCTCAGTAGGAATTTTTTTCCTGGAGTTTTACTGCTGAGTGATGGATAAAAGGTTAAAGGCTGCAGCTTCCCAGGAGATTTTCCTTTCCTTCCCTTAGGAGGGGAATCCTGATGGTTTTCCACTCTCCAAGCCAGTGGTGGCTGCAGGGGGGGACCCTTAGCAGGGTCACTGGGGACAACGTGTGGCTTGTCCTGAGGGGCTTCTGGTGGCTCCAGGAGAGGAACTGAAAGGCTCCCTTTGGAAGGGAGGCTGCTGTGAACCTCCTTGGGATGAAAAATCCATTTTCCTGCTAGAAAACGATGCCAGACTTTGGAATTTGGGAGGATTTGTGCTGGTGTTGTCATCTGGGTGTGACATGGGACAAGTGCCTGAGGAGCTACTGGGGACAGCTGGGGATTGAGGGTGTTTGACCTGGAAGAGGGAGGATGGAGTGGGATTTCTTGGGTGGGGAATGAGCTGCTGTTGACTACAAATCCTTGAGGGTCTGGCGTTTGCTCTTCCCAGAGAGGGCAAATGCAAACCTGGAGCTCTGAGTGGCTGGAGCAGCTCTTGATTTCAGCCCTCAGGCACTGCAGCATCTGTTTGAACACAGCTGGGGCTGTGTTTCCTCTCAGTCACTTTCTGAGTGGTGCTGCGTAGGCTCTCCCAAATCCATCGGGGTTGTGGCACTCCCCTGATGATTCCATGGGCTGTGGTTTTCCCCCAATGATTTCCATGGATTGTGGCTTTCCCCCGATGCTCCCATGGGTTGTGACTGTCCCCTGATGATCCCATGGGCTGTGGTTTCCCCCTGGTGATTCCATGGGTTGTAGTTTTCCTTTGATGATGCCATGGGTTGTGGCTTTCCCCAATGGTTTCATGGATTGTGACTTTCTCCTGATGCTCCTATGGATTGTGGCTTTCCCCTGATGATCCCATGGGCTGTGGTTTCCCCCTGATGATTCTATGGGTTGTAGTTTTCCCCTGATTATCCCATGGGTTGTGGCTCTCTCCTGATGATCCCATGGGTTGTAGCTCTCCTCTGATGATCCCATGAACATACCAAGCCCTTCACCTCATCCCTTTCAGCAGGAGTCTCCCTGTGCTGTCCTTGCTCTGGAATGCAGGGAAGAGGAGGGGGGATGAGATTTGTGCCCATGACCTCGCTGTAGTTCCACATTTTCCAGCTGAGCTCTTCGGGCTGAGTTAGGCAGAGATTTTATCACTGCACTGGTGTAAAACAGCCCAGCCCTCCTTGGCTCCTCTGTGAGGTGGGGCTGGGCTGGTATTGGGGTTTGCTTTGGGTTTTTTGCATTTTTCCCTTTTTTCTGAGGGATGTCCTGTGGTTTCTGGGTGTGTGGTGCAGATGTTGGTGCTGTGGTGGCTGAGTCTTGTTGTGGTGCTGCACTTCTTCCTGGAATGGTTTGGATTTGGAATCCAAGTTTATCTTGTACCAAAGATAAGGGACACCTTCCTTAGCACGAGTTCCTGGCCAAGCTGGCCTTGCAGCCCTGCAGGAAGGGTGGATCCAGCTGTGGAGCTCCTCCCCTGGAGCTGCAGGCCAGATCTTCATCAGGATCTTCAGCAGTCCCTTTTCAAGCCCTGGCTGTGAAATCTTCCTTGTCCCGAGCACTTTGTCCCCATCAATGGCTCTGTCCAGGTTGGTGCCCTGGGCATCCCAGGGCAAGATCTGTCCCTGAGGGATGCTCCAGGGAAGCCCAGGGCTGCTGGGGGCAGGTGAGGTTTGGGCTCAGGGAAACCCACGTGCAAACAGTTTTAGGGACTCCCTGATGCTGCTCAGCCCCTGCAGCATCCCATGGAATCCACAGAATCATTCCAGCTGGAAAAGCCCTCAAAGGTCAGGGAGTCCAGCCAAGGCCACCGCTGGCCCATGTCCCCGGTGCCACAGGTTCCCTTGGGAAGGGATTTCCTATGGGTCTGCCCCATGTCCCCAGTGCCGCAGGTTCCCTTGGGAAGGGATTTTCCATGGGTTGGGCACGACCGGGGGTCGGGAGCACATCCCAGGTGTGGGATGCTGGGTGCCGATGGGGGCTTGGGGCGCATCCCGGGTGGGAAATGTGGGGTTGATCCCAGTGGGGTTGATTCCAGAGGGATCCCAGGGGGTTCCAGCGGGTTTCCAGCGGCATTCCCGCAGGATCGGGGTCTCTCCCGGGCTCGCGCTGACCCCTGGCGGCAGCAGCGGCAGCGCCTGCAGTTCCCAATGGGGCCTGCAGGGGGCGCGCGGGATTCTCTGGGATCGCAGAATGGGATGGGATGGGATAGGATCGGACGGGATGGGATGGGATGGGATGAACCTTAAATTCCATCCAGTGCCACCCCTGCCATGAGAGGGGCACCTTCCACTATCCCAGGCTGCTCCAAGCCCCGTCCAACCTGGCTTTGGACACTTCAGGGGATGGGGCAGCCAAGAATTCCTTCCCAGTGTCCCATCTATCCCTGCCCTGCGGCAGTGGGAAGCCATTCCCTTTGTCCTGTCGCTCCATCCCTTGTCCAAATTCCCTCATCAGCTCCTGTGGAGCTTCTTCAGGCACTGGAAGGGGTTTTAAATTTTCCCCGGGGCTAAACATTCCCGGCTTTCCCATCCTGGCTCTGGAGCAGAGGTGCTCCAGCCCTGGAAAAAGGTGTAAAAACCTCATGGAACGACCAATATCTTTGGGAGCAGCAGTTAAACACAGCAGGGCTGCTCCGGACGAGTGGGACACTGAGGAAAACCCCATGCAGGGGGTGTTGGCTGTGTCAGAAGTCGCACGGGAGGTGACAGCGGCTTCCCGCGAAGCCACGGGCGCTGCTGGAGCCGCGGCCGCTGGATGGCAGCGGAGCTCCGCGGCATTCCCGATCTGCGGCATTCCCGCTCCTGGCACTGCCTCCATCCCCCGCATCCATCCCCTGCTCCATCCCCCGCTGCTGCTCCGCTGGGCTCCCACCCCGCCGTGGGTTCCCGAGGGTGCTGCTCTCCGGGAAGGGCAATTCCAACCTCCCGGCGTGCCCATGGAAGCACAGACCCCAAACCCGAGTAGTTACTCGGAAGTTGGACTTATTCCTTGTGGGTCGCTTCCAGCTCTGGCTATTCCAGAATTCTGGAGAAGCCCAGTCCGGTTCTTGACTGCCCAGAGCAGAGGGATGAGGAGGGAGATGATAAATGTGACTTTTACGGATCTGCCTTTAGCCAAAGACCCGTGGCACTGGGGGAACCTTCTAAACTTTATCTGGAACGCTGCTGCTCCGTGGATGTGGGATTTGGGGAGCGTGCCCAGGGACAGGAGCACACTGGGTGAGGTTTGTCCAGCATTCCCGGAGCTGTGCTCCTCGTGGGATGGCTCCGTGTGCTCCTTTCTCCCCAAAAAAGCTTGCAAAGCTCCTGCTGTGCCTCTCCCCTCCCCTCCCTGCCCCAGCTCCCCGGGGAGAAGAGGGATCGGGATCGGGAGCCGGGGCTGGCTCTGCTGGCACACGGCAGGGGTGAATTACTGCGGGATAATCCCGCGGCTTTGGCTCCCTGGAGGCTCTTCCCGAGCAGTCCCAGGCTCCTGGGCTGGCACTTCCCGAGCTGAAAGGTTTCCCTGTCCGGGCTCCTCCCGAGCTGCAGCCAAGGGCGAATTCCAGCGGCGATACCAGCCCCGGGCTGGGTTTCCATGGTGAAGGCATTTGGGGTTTGCTGTGAAAAGCCGGGTTTTTGGGAAGTTTTCAGCCGGGAATGGCACATTTTGTCCATCCCCGGGCTGCTCCCTGTGGGGGAAGAGCTTTGAAAGGGCCCTGCGAGCCTTGGGGACAGCCTGAGCTCGGTTCTCACACTGCTCTGCACTCCAGGAGTCCCCTCTGGCCCTGGGATGCTGGGATTTGTCCTGGGATCTGCTTTTCCTCACCCAGGATCTGTCTCAGCTCCTTCCCCAGCTCCTCCTGCTGTTTGAGCCCACACTAAACCCGATTTATTTAATTTTCTGAGGTGCTGCTTCAGGCCCTCCCGTGTGAAAACCAAAGGAAAAAGTTGATCCAGGGATTTTGCATCCGAGGAGCTGCAAGTTGCACCTCTGAGTAAATGAAGTTTGTGTGACCTCATCCCCTCCTACTCTCATGTGTGTGTCCCTGGGAGGCAAAAACCTGGTTAAAAACTCAATTTAGGCTTCCCAAGTGTTGCTCACCTGCTTTTCTAACAAAAAGGAGTTTTTGAGGTGATATTTTTGCCTTTTCTGGGGTGCATCTGGCCAGCCAGGACACCTCCAGTGCCCTGGGAGCTGCGCTGCGCCCTTGGCCTCTGGAATGCTCTTTTCATTGATATTTTCTGGGAACAAAAAATGCTGGCTTTGTATCCACTGCCCCTTTCTTTGCCCACGCAGAAGGGGAGGGAGGAAAAAAACGACTCAAATATTTTCTTGTAACAAAAGGCTGCGGGTGAATCTGGATCAGCCTCTCTGCTCCGTTTCAGGCCAAATCTCCAGGGTTTTCAGCGGAGAAATTAAAACACTGGAGCTTTCTCTTTTCTCCCGCAGAACAAACAGGAGCGGTTCCCACTTCCTCCCGCTCATAAACAAAACCAGCCCGACATCTCCAGGAGAAACCCTGCCAGGAGACTTTCCTTCCTAATTGTTTGATATTTTTTCAGCTCTGATTAGTATTCGGGAGTGCCTGGCACACGGGCTGCAAATTTCAGGAGCAGGCTCCGAGCAAATCCTTCCCTCTGCTTCCATCCCTTCCTGTCCATCCCCTTCACCTTCTTCCTCCCTCCCTCTCCTTTCTGCTTTGTTTCCAGTCCTCCTTCCTGGGCTGATGGGGGCTTTTGGCCACCAAATGCGTGGCAGGG